GCCAGCTATTTGAGCCCACCAGCCGCACTGCATGAGAAAGATGAGACTTTCTACTCCCATAAAAGTTCACAGCCACAGAAACCCACAGGAGAAGTTATACTCTAGCTGATAGGCCACAACGACTAGTAATCCACTGACTGATAGTGAGTTGGGACAATAAATAGATTTCAAATGTTCTGAAACTCAAAATCGTTCTGTCAGAGTTCAAACTCCTTTTATTCAAATTAAATCTTGTTCCATCTTGTTAAAAGATAACACAACTCTGCTTGTGCACAGAATTTTTCTTGTCAAGAAGCCTGGAGTCAGCCTCACCCCTGAAACATTTAACACAAATTATCCGTTGACTTCTATATATTAAACTGTGTTTTGCAATGTTTGCTGCATAATTTGAAGACTAATTTATTTCTTCAAAATATTTATGAACATTGCTATGAAGTCCTATTTGCAATACTCTAAACTGCCTCCATGCCTTCCGTATAATACTGCCTTTTCCATTTCTTTTTCATTTTTCACTCTCCTCAAGCTGTGTTCTGGCTTTGCAGTATCCAACGTGTAGTCTCTCTATAGATTATATAATCTCCCATACCAAAATGAAAAACCTGCTACCATCTCTTCACGCAGTGACCATATAGGACAGAGAAGAACTGCCTGTTTGGGTTTCCAAACCTTTAAATCTTTTAAAGGCTTCAGAGTGACTGGTGGGTTCGAACCATTGACTATGATTGGCAGCTCAATGCATAATCAACTATCCCTCATGGTCCTGCATTTTACTTCCCTGATTATTACTTTATGATAGACTTTTAGGAGTGGGTCAGTCCTTAAAAGCTTTTGTTAAATAAATTTCAAAATTTGCTTTTCAGAAAGACTTCGCCAGTTTACACACCATTGGCAATTTGGGTGCTAATAGCACTTTTTATTATCTTTATAGATTATTAGTGTAAAAAATATTTTAAATTTGATAGGTAAAGGTGGAACATAGTCTCTAAGTACATTTATATGCTAAATTGATTACCAAGACTGAATGTGCTTTATTTACTGGATGGTTTCATTGCTATGTGCAATTTAAATATGTGGTCTATAGTTATGTTTCTTTTGGAATTTCAGTGTTTTCTTATGGTTCCTAAGAGTTCTCTTTGGATGAAGAATACAAAGGAGTTTCAAAAAGATGGAAAATTGGATTCTTCTCTGACCTCTTGAATCCCCCTCATACTCTTCAGTCAGTCATTCTAGAAATTTTTTTCCAATTTAGAACTAGCTGTTTGTCTTTTAATTTTGGTCATGGTGTAAGTTTTACTTCTTTAGATGTCAGTTTTCTGTTTATCTCTTCCTGTATGATTTTTTTTCTCTGTTTTTATATTTTTGATAGGTCTTTACACCCGGTCATCAGTCACTCCACCTACCTCCTCATTAAAATACTGAACAGTAAATGGCACATGATAGTTGTTTCAGTTAACTAGTAAAATTGTTTTCTTTCTTTTTTTGTTCTACCTGGAATTGATTTTTGTATGAGTATAAATCTGAATTAAATTATAATAGGTGAACACAACTTGAATCTTAAGCATCAAATCCTAAATATTTAGCCAGTTTTTATATTGACTAATGTAATGTTGAATAATTTATCAAATCTTAATTTGTTTGTGATACTCTTTCAAGGTTTCCTTTTTCTTGATTGGACTGTCTAATTCCTGTCCCAGTATACATCAGAATCATTGTTGTTTTATAGTAAGCTCATTTATTATCATTCTTAATATTTTATTAGCTATTGATGGTTTATAAAATAGTAACATTATAATTTTGTAGTATTTACTCCCACACTAAAAACATAGTTACTACTATTTGATTGGACTTGTATTATTTATTAACTTTTATATTACTCATGAGAATTTTTTCCTCTAGAAAATTTTAAAAATGCAGATGAACAAAACATGCTAATTGCTAAGGAATCTGCATTCTCCCAGTAGTTATTCTTGTTACTTAATCAAAGTAACAAGAATTTTGCTTGTTACTTGTTTACTTGTCACTCCTTTTATTGTCAGAGGTTTTACTTCTCAGTAAAATTTTGTTTTCTCCATAGAATTCTTAACACTTGATATGCTTATTAAAAATATTGCTGTTATTTTAGTATTTTTTTAATGTTGCTATTATGGGTTGAATTTTTCCGTATTTGTTTCGTAACTTATGATTGTTTTCATAATGATGTTTGATGGATTTTCTGAGTTTTTAAATTATTTTAATAAATTCTTTAGGATTTTCTAGACATACAATATATAAACAATATTTCCCCTCATTTTTCTGCAGTCTTTAGCTCAATATTCACTGAGGTAGTTCTCAATGTTTTTAAAGCAAGAAGACCCTTTTCCACTTTGTTTTTGGCATGGAATTCCTCCTTCATATTAAAGCAAAAGCAGCTGTTATTCAAGTAAGGGTGATACCACAACACCATCCTGTTTATCAGGGAGTTACCATTTTTATTCTGAAGTATTTTGTTTGGCATTTAGATATGATTTTGACTAACAGAAAATATTGTGTAAGGCAATTATTTTGAAGATAAAATTTCTAAGATAATTTTTAAAAAATCACAGTGCAATATAATTTTATTAAATTCCTTTAAAGAAAATTTTGAAGCTCTCAGTACATTTGAAGATTCTTATTGTCTTCTGAATTTCATGGTAATTCTGTTGTTATTCTATTTTGAAATATGTATTTAAATAGTATTTTAATGATAGTGAAGTAAATAACCCATATTATTTTTATTATATGTATTAGTATATTTTAAACATTTTTCAAATTAATTTAGAAATGCATGGATTTAAGATTTTACATTTGTGTTTTAGATTTCTGTTATCTAGTATCTTTAAATTATGCTGTTTATTTTTATTTTTAACGTATAGGGTATTGTGTGGAGATTTAATGTAGGATGTATCAGATTGAGTTAGAATTTGGAAATTTTACATTAGTGAATTGATGGAGGCAGGTGGATTCTTTAGCTCCAATTGTGCTTTTGTTCGGCCATTTGCTGTGATAACAGGAAGCAAAACTATTCTGTTTATGCAAAAATGTTTTTCTTTCTCTGGAAAGTTTTATCTTGAGAGCAGTAAGGCTTATGATTATATCATACCTAGGGTAAAGTGGGTGGGGGGCTGTATAGTGACAGCCACCCATGAAACTCAAAAGTGTTTCTTTCAAATACAAAGACATTGTTCTCAGAGGACTGACTATATAGAAGTGATACATTGATATGCTGTGAGTCATTTTATAAATGTATGTATAATTAGAGGGATTTCAGTTTTGTTTTAGCCTCTTATATCTACACTAATGTAATAATGAAAAGTTCTAGTGAGAGAAGTAATTTGAAATTACACAAAAAACCATGAATCAGATAAATATATTTTAATACTTCATGACGAGACCATAGTTGACTGAACAGTAGAGTGGGTAAATTTGGTGATAGTTTTAACTGTTTTTTTAAAGAGTTTTGTGTATTAAAAATTACCAACTGCGTCAGAAGAACCATGTTTTACAATTTCTAAGTGCCTCTTGTCTGCAGTGTACAGGTGTGCCTCAGTACCAAAGGAGCAAGAAAACGTATGCTTTTAAAAAGGTGGTAGCTCTCAGACACCAACTGAGGAGGAAAAGAGATAACACCTGAGGAGTCAGATATCCTCTCCTTTCCTCCTGCCACATTATTTGCACCTTACGTTAGGTGCCTCTTCCAGTGTGTGAAAATGGCTATGATCATGGAGCTCCTGCCAAAGAATGAAAATTCAATTCAAACAGTGAATTGAATACCAGAAAGACTATTTTGCTTATTAGCATTTTAGACCTTTCAGCAGGTGGTGTCATATATACAATATGTAGCAAAATAGCATAACGATTAAGAGCATTATCTTTTAAGTGGAACGCTTGCTGCTTTCCTAGCTTTGATTTTACATCCCGTATATACTCTTGTATAAGCCAAGTTTTTCAGCACATTTTAAATGCAGTTTTTGTGGTAAAGTTAGGTGCCTTGGCTGATGGTCGGGTTGGCTTTTACTCGAGTATATACGGTATTTAGCCTCTTGCATGTGTCTTTCTTTGTGTTGTTTTTCTCAGTGTTGTTTATAAGAATTACTGGAGATCACATATGTAAAGTACTTTAAAATAGAACCAGGAACATAGTGTTGCTCAGTTAGCAAATAGTGCCTACTGCTATTATTAGTATTTTTGTAGAATTTGGTGGAAATAACTATAAAATTCCAGTTGATCGCATGTGATTATGCTGTATATTCAGACGTGAAGAGAAATCTAAATTTGGTCAGATTAGAATTTTGCTACTGTGAATCTTGATCTAAATAATATGCGTAAGTTTAGATTATTTTAAAAAATATTTAGATATTGTAAAATATCTTGGCAATTTAAAAAATATATAATTATTACATAGTAGCTGTTGCTGTACTTTCTCCCCCTTTGTTCAAATGCAATGCTGCCATTTAAAAATATATTTCTACATATAATACAAATCACATAGTTCTGGACACAAAGAAGGTACAATTAACACTTGGGTGAGGTGCTTAAATGTCAGCTTACATATTGTTGAGAGTGGAATGTAAAAAAATAAACATTGTTGAGAGTGGAAGGTAAAAATAAATAATAGAATATTTATTTTAAAATGAGAATTTTCAACAATACTAAGAAGCTTTACTGTTTGTCTTTCAAGAACTCAATGCCATCAAATTGCTATTACTTTACAAATTAGTATTATCAAAAATAAAGGAATGAATTTAAATTGATACCTGAGACAGGAATAATTTAGATGTTTGCTAAGAATTGTTTCTACTTATTTTTTAAAACCTGATTGTCTTTGCTATGGGAAATACTTTTTAAAAACCCTGGACTATAATTCTAGTTTGGACAAATAACACTTAAGTCTGTCTCTATGTATACATATGAACACACACACAAACCCTCCCCCCACCCCCGCTAGTTCCTGAAGTGTAAATCAGAATACAATAAGGGAAGGATTCCCTTTGTTTATTTTGATCAGACTTGCTTATTTGTTATTAAGCTTTTAGGTGACTTTTATATAGTAATTTTGACCATTTAGTAATCTTACAGAGTAAATGAAATGAAAAACAAACTTGGAACGAAGAGCAGAGGAGTATTATGTGCAGGTCCAGACTCATAGCTATCGACTCAGTTCTGACTCACAGTAACTTCCTTAATGTAGAATAGAGCATTTAGATTGCTTATTTGAGATGAGAGATGTAGTGAGTATAAATAGAATTCATTGTATTACTAAGAATTAAGTACTTAAACAGCTTCTGTGATTCTCAACTTTAGCGAACATTACAGTTCTGGTGATTTGTCAAGGGTAAAAATAATTGTTATTAATGCTAAATAAAATCCTGACTAAATTAAGAGTAATACTTTTCTAGATTTGTATGAAACAAGAACATTTTAATGTTCGTGGGTTAGTATTACTATACTCCATTACTAATGGAGTCCAACAAAATTACTGTGACATATTTATACCATAACACTCAGTAAAGATTGTTGTTGTTGTTGTTCACCTTAGCTTTTTTATTATTTTAAATTTTTGATAAAAGTGCATCATATACATTTTTAATCCTAAAATCAAGTGTTCATCAAACATTTGTAGTTTTTCCCCAATCCCCCCGCCCCAAAAGGGTTCTACTTGATAATGCAGAATGTTTGTCTTATACCAGATTACAAATAGCATGTTTTTAAACGTGGCACTCAGACAAAGAAGTAGGTGACCATAAAATGTGTAAGTATTGGCACGTGTACACCTGCTCTCAGGAAATAAACTTCCCATATGTTGCAGTTTGGGAGACATGCATCTTAGAAATGTATTGAATGAAATTGTGGCTGCACTCTTTTTATCATTTCCAACAATATGTCTTCTTTGTGCCTCATTTTGTTTTAGGTAGAGTAACAGGATATACTTTCATATTTGAGTGTACTTAGGGTTAATTGATAGTACTCTTTAGGAGTGCAGTAACTTAAAAAGTTAAATAACTCATTGAAATACTGATTTGGCCCTTAGTGAAGAAACAAAAATTTCTATTTTGAAACATTCAATAACTTGTTTTATAAAAACTTGAGCCTGAGACACATTGATTTTCACATTTTATCACGTCTAAGTAAGCTTCCCTTAATTTATGTGAGTATTCATAAAAGGAATTAAAATGAGAATCTCAATTGTTTTTAAAGAGTAAACACTTAAATGAAAATGGCATTGGTAAAACATTTGAACTTTATAAATGCATGTTTGAAGTAAATCCATTAAGTTATGAGAACTCTAGAATAGCCAGGTCAAAAATTTTGTCCATGGCACCATTAAAAGGCTTTCTTAGAGTTGATAGCAATGTTTTATTTACATTTAATTGTATATTGAAATACAAAAGTAAGTCTTAGAAGAATGATCTTGAAAGATCTCTTAAATTAAAATTTGTATGGAAAATATACACAAGTACTATTTTGTTGGCTCCTGTAATAAAACTTGAACCATTGATGTATGCATGCTTGTTATTGCATGTTAATACACAGAATCTTCTTATATATTTTTTTAATAGATTCTTTTGGGATACTTTTTATGTAATGTAGTTTGCAGAATTTTCTTCAGAAGTTGAAAAAAATATATTTGTAATTCCTTCATGTCATGGGCTTTAACTAAAACATGTACTAATGATGTAATCCATTTTAATTATACATGCTTTTAGCAATATTTACAGGTTGCATGTTGGAGGGTGGGGGGAGAAGTGTTTTTCTAATGTAGTTTACGGTGCCGATACCTGCCTCCTTTTTCTTTTGCTGCATTGGCACAAGCATTGTGCTTATTTTGTTGTAAATGGTTCCAGTATTTTATCAGTTCACTAGGCTGGAACTGATGAGAGGTAATTAGGTGGCTGTATTTACAGCTTGAATAAGAAACTCGCCAGTGATTGAACACAAACTCATTGGGAGGGGGCACAGGATCAATTCTCAGCTTGGCAAGACAGATCCCTACATACACATCTTCCAAGTGCAAACGACGAATACTTAAAGAAACTTTAAATATCTTTTCTGCTAGATCTCCAGAAAAAACATAACCAGTTCCAGAACAGAAGACAGGGTATCGCTCACTTGGATAGAGGTCTGGTGGCATGTACCACTTACTGTCTTTGTTTCGATTGGGTGCGTATCCTCTCATTAGATAACCAGTGAAATAGTTATGTCTGGGAGGCAGATCTGGCTTCAATAACTTATGTATTAAATATTCAGTGTTGACAAACATGTCACTGTCAGTTTTCATAACATACGGAATATGTGGACAGTATGTTGCAACCCAGTTCATGCCCATTAGTGTTTTAATGGTTAAATTATAGTATGTATCTAAATATTCCTGTTGAATTATATCATGGTATTGTCTGCTTTCTTCTAGTATTGCACGTTGAAGGTAGCCATTTAGCTTAATACTTATTCCCAACAAAAAAATTCGTGTGATTTGGATACCAGTTGCTAGACTTTCATTGCCCCAAGTTTGCCGTATAGCTCTTCTAGCTTCTATTTGTCCAGGTTCTGCAGCTATTAGTAATATTAGAAAAGGGCTTTTTTCTTGGCATTTTTCAGGTTCATTGATAATGTATCTGAAATGGTAAGAATATGGATGTCCAGTACCTTTTTCATTGTAAATACTTCCATTGGCACTAAGTGTATTCTCCAGCCCTGTAACTCCTTGTGGTGACAGGTCTGTGTTATTGGAGTTAGTGGCTGTTTGAGGCCTCAGCGTTTGAGGGACTGTTTCTTTCCAGATGTTCCGAAGGGAGCTGTGGTTTGTCTCACTTTTTGTAGAGCGAAATCCTCGGAAAGTGTATGTCACAGGGTTTTCTTTGAATCCAGCTTTACCTGGTAGCCAGTCGTGATGATTGAAAAACAAAAATATACCAAACAGAAACACTAAGGAAAGTACACCAATAAGATGGGTTCGGAACAGAGACCTTTTGGCATTCCAGGTCATCTTTGCAAAGCAACAGTGTCTTCTCCTCCACTGAAGCATGTTTATATATCCAGAAATGAGATATGAGATAATAATGGTGGCTGAAATGTTGTCGACTCCTGAATCCGTACTATTCTTTGGTAATCATTTTCTAATTCAATCACATTCTGTCCCTCGTAGTCATTCTACAGAGATAAAAGGCAAAAGTTTATAAAATGCTGAATGTTACAAAATTGCCTGAAAATGATTTGATATGCTAATAAAATTTCTTAAGCTGTGAAACTACGGTACTCCAGAAACAAAGTTTCTAATTTATGTCTTTTTGTTCATATAACTCTATTATCAACTCATAATAGCAAGATTAATGCTTTGAAAATACAACATTGTTGCAAAAATGAACACTTTAACGACAGGTGGCAAGTTAGTTTTTGTTTTTCACTTAATTTTGTTCACTTAGAAGCTCTGGCCATTTGTATTTTGACCCAAGTTAGATACTTAAATGCATGCATAAGAGAAAAATGTTGCTAGAATCCTATCCTGAGAGAATCCATGTAAAAAGGCCTTGAGAACAGATGGAAAATTTATTGGCATTAATTAAAATTGATTTGACATACCATTGGTGGTATGGTGCACAGTCAGCGGCCTTTTTTGTAAAATGGTCATGTATCAGTTGTGGGACAGACGGTGCAAGGTTGATTATGGCAGAGTTCTGTTAGTCACAGTACACTGCTTGGCATGTTTCCATTGGCCCCTACTGTGTTGAGAAAGTCAATGAGAAGATGCACCTGTCAAAATTAATTTTCAGTGTCCAATAACTACAGTGCAGGATTTTTAGACAAGATGAACATTTTAATCTTAAATGACGAACATTTTCAAGTTCTCTTACATTGTTTTAACTGTCCATTTCAAACACAAAGCATTCAGGAGATAATTTTCTTTACTTAGATTGGTTTTAAAATATAGCAAGTAATTACCTGTATGGCCTTGACAGAGCCCGATCACATACCTCAGATCTCAGCTGAGTAGGATTACAGAGAGAACTGTGTTGGACAATCTTTACAAGTTTTCTATAGAACACAGGCAGTAATTGTTATCATTTATAACTTTAAAGATTTAAAAAAGCTCCACATATTTTGAAAGGTTTGTGGGTTATGTTTTGTTCTAAGATTGTGAGTAGAGGATTTGTGGGATTACTAGGATTGCACATCACTTAGGAGGCCCTAAATATTTTACAAAGATGATATGATGTCAAGATGACAGGTTCATACTATTGCTCTTCCCTCTTAAGAACTAATATGTTACCTTTGAGCAAGGTTTTTCAATACATAATGCAAACGGTTTCCTGGTTTTCAATATGTACTTAATTTTTCTGGAGCAAGATATAGGGGTTAGGAGGTTGGTGAAGTGCCTCCTAAAAAAATGTAGAATAACCCAAAAAAACCTCTTGGGAAGGAAGATTAATAAATTGCATTTTTCACCATACTATGAAAATTATTTCTCTTAAGCAATGGAAAATTACATAACTGGTGTTAAAAATTCTGAGGTTGGAGCATATACTTATGAATTTATAATACATGCATATGTCTTTTTAGACATTGATGTTTTAACATTCATGGTTAATAGCAACCTTACATAACATTGATGTAAATTTAATTACTTTAGGAACTAATACTGTTCATGGAAATCATTATATAATGGAACTAATTATAACAAGTTCTTATATATGATGGTAAGAAATTTGAAAATTCTGTTCGAAAATGTTAGACATAAATGAATGAAAGTATAACTGTTCTGGTAACAGCCACTAGGAGGAGCAAGTAGGTGGGAATTTGAACAAATTTCTGAACTCTGTTATAGGTACCAGCATTTGATAATTTCTAGGTTCTGAAACTACTTAGTAGTATTAAATGGAAAAACATTATTTAATAATTTGAAGAGAGAATTTTTTTGAGATTTTAAAAAGCTATTTATTAGTTTTATTTACACAAATTTAATTTCACAATAATATAATGAAGACCATATCTGTTGATTGTTCAATAAAACATGTTTCTGCTTTGAGCTAAGTTGAAAATAATAGAGCTGAGTGTCCTGACATAGAAACTCCCTTTTCTCTTTTTCCTAGTTGGCTATTCTATGTGGACTAGCAAGCTGTTTCTAAAATTTTATTTTCAAATGAGATATTTCATAAATAATACTGATTATTCCCTGATTCCCACTGCCCAGTAAGGAAACTAGTAGAAATACGCATCATGTATGTATATTTAATGAGATGTTGTGATTTAAATTAATTTGCTAATGTGTTAAACATTCCAGAGCTAAATTAATCAACTTACTATTGATATAATAATGCTTGGAATCTGATTGAAGCACAATAGTCTAGATCTTTAAAATGTGTAAAAGAGTTTGAGTCAGTAAATACAAGGTCAGATATTTGAATGAATGTTTAAATAAAGGACCAGATGAATGGAATTAAACATAGTAACAAATTGCAGGATTTGTATAAAAATGATATACCTTTAGTGATATCTTGAAAGTATTTCAATGTTATATACATCAGCAAATTATATTGTAATATAGTAAGTGCACAATTTTTATTCTGAACATAATTTTGTAACAATATGTAATAGTGAATAGCAACATGCATCTTATAATTACATGATAGTTTTAGTTTTATAAATATTAATCTGCCAAGGCTTGAAATCCACATATACCTATTTGATTAAAGAAATGCATGTGTCTGGGCCTTTTAGAGTTCTGTAATAAAGGGTTTTAGGTATTTATCATTTTCTGTTAAGAAACAAAATTGTTGTGGCTGTTTTTCCTTATTTAAACAATAACATTATTCTCTGGTAATACATGTTGTATTTTGGTTCCTGAGTAATGGTACAAGGTAAAATTTAAATATTTGAGGCATGCAAAATAGTTTTACATTTTTTACCATCACAGGATGGTGTAGTAATTGCTTTGATTATCTATTCTTTTTGATGAAATATTTTCAAGTTAATAATGTGTATTTAGGTTTATGATTTGAAGTTTGCGGGACGAATGCTACTGTGAAGTGCTATTCAGTTATTTTATGTACACTATAATCACATGGGTTATCATTTGGCTCTTAAAATAGTTCCTACCTTTAATCTATAACAATTTCAGATTAATGAAAATTAGATTAATTAAAAGTATATACTTTTGAAATGCCTAGCTTATAAAATTGCTTCATTGGTGTGGCTTTAACATGGAAAGGTAAAGACTATAAGAGGGACCTGAGATTTTTTTACAACCATAATTTTGTTTGTTGGATACTACCAGATTGCGACCTTTGTGGAATAAAAATTTGTGGTAGTGAAAGAGAGTGAAAAACTTGTAATAGGGCCACATAAACTTATAAAATTTTAGCTCTTTTTGGGAAATGGACTAGTTAAGTCTTGAAATGTTAGATTATTGTTATTAATACAATAGGATATGAAGACATTGAGTGAACTGAGAAAAACAGTCTTTGATAGATTTGTAAATCGCTTTAGAATATCTTCCGAACTCTGTAGCTCTGAGTTGTTATTCTAACTCTGATTGTTGCTAAGATAGTTTATTAGGTTTATCTGTGCCCTACACACACACACAAAGTGGCAGTAGTTTGTTGCTGCATATTAATATTGCTTGGAAGTCCATTAGCTAATTTATATTTAAAATTTTTGACCTTGCACTTACTGCTGCTTATGGATTTTTTACTTGAAAACATTTTATAGTATGTTTTTAAATTCCACTGTAAAAAATATCAGGAACCACCGTAGCTGTGACTGTAGAATCAATCTTTCACGTAATATAAAAGAATCTTCAAATAGAAGAATTTTTGTAACTTTTGAGGTCTTGTTGTACTTTTTATTGCAGTTTGGATGAAAGTTTATAGAGCAAATTAGTTTTTTATTCAACAATTTATACATGTTTTGTGACATGGGTTACAATTGCCCAGTGTAGTAGTACTCTGCCCACTTCCTCCCTGAGTTCCTTGTTTCCATTCCTCCTTTCGTGCCCCTTCTGAGCTTTGTTTTTGAGCAGATGTTACCCTTTGGGTTATTGGTATCTTTTGTTTAAAGTTGTATTCTCAGACAGTATGCTAACGTGCAAATCTCTGATGTTGTGATGCTCATGAAGTCACACTACCTTATGTGATCCTATGCCAATGCGTTCCTTTCATTATTCTTTGTAGCTGGGTAAGATTTAGAAATTGTTGTTGTTCTCAGGCTATTCATTATCTTTATTTGTATCGATAGATACTGGAAGGAAGATTTTGCTACGAAAGCTGTTAGGTAGAAATAATGGTTTACAATGGACTTTGGAAAAAGCTCTTAATAATAAGATAATCCATGAACCTATTTAATGTAATTTCACTGCATTGTCTCTTTTGATAGCCATTTTTAAGAGAGCACTTTAATTTACTAGATAAGGATTCAATTTGACCTAATTTGATAGAGGATTGCTATGTTTCCTTTAGAGGGCTGCAGATTTTTTTATTTTTTAAGGTTAATTTCCTAGAGAATCCTTTATGCCCATCTTGTTACTACTTGCCTGCACCCCACTTCCCCACTACGTTTGTAATTCAGAATCATTTCAAGCTACGCATGTAACTAAATAAAAACAGTGACAGCTTGTCTTCTAAACAATGAAAAAAATTTAAATCATATATTTAGAAACGTCAATAGTTTCAAGTACAGTGAACTAGATAAACTTGTTCATCAGAAATTAGTACCTCCAGGGCAATAAAAAGGTAACAGACATTTAACTGAATATCACACGCAAGGTTTCAACATACCTTCCTCGGTCAGGCCATTTATGGTGAGAGGATTACGACCACTGAAAGTACTTTTGGCACGCCATCACTTCAGCAAAAAAAGATGCTATCGAACATGAGCACATCCCCCAGCAGTCTGCTTCCTGCGATTGCTTTTCCCAGTATCCAAAGTGTCCATCTGTCTGCTTGTCTTCGAGTTACCCTCCTTGTTCATAGGGGTCCTGGTCTTGTGAGATTTTTCCTTTCTTTCATGTTCTCTCTCTTGTTAAACAAAAGAGCTGTAGTTGTCCGTTTTATTTGTAGCACTGTTGACTCTTCCCGACAGTTGATGCATTGAAGCTTTTAATATCTGCTATTTTCCTGGCTGGACAATGCAGTGCTGTGTTCTCTTCTCAGTATCCATATTTCTAGTAATAACACTGAGCTGCAATGTAAAGCAGCTAGCGCTAGAATGTAGTAGTTCAGCTGTATTGTAAAAGAATAGGATTTACCTCTCGTCTTTCGTAGTTGCCTGGCAGCTGCAGGAAGGATTTTGAGCAGTTTTACTGGGGTTTTAGTCTATAATTTGAAATGCACGGTTCCTCAGCTGCTGCACAGGCAGGCAGCAGTTTAAATGTGGGCTTGACAGATGCTCTCTTCTGACAGAGCAGAATTTAACGTCACTGCTTGGCTGGATCCCACGTGATTGTTTGCATTCATTTTGACTGAAAAATCTGAGGTAGAGAGGAGCTTAATGATTTTGCTTCTGTATGGAAAATTATGTATATTCACTACAAACGTAGTGATGAGTGAATAATATAAAAGAATGGAATAGTTATGAAATGAATGGTTAGGATTTATTTTTTCCGAGTTTTTTTTTTTTTTTTTAATGCTTAAAGCACAGGCTTTAGAAACATTTTGAATGTTAGATGTTGTTTTTCATATGATTTTGCAGGGCATAAGTAGTAGTATTTTTATATATGTAACTTGGATTTATCTAACCCTTGCAGTGCATTCTTCCCGTTGAAGCTTTTTCTTTTTCTCAATTTGTATCATGTATTCTACGACAACCTTGCTCAGACTCAGATCATTTATTATTTTAATCTATAATTTAGGCCTTCCACATCCCCTAGGTTTATATCAATCAGGAGTTCACGTCTTTTTGCTCTTCCATGCTTTCTAATGTACTCTAAGGCAGCAAAACTTTATTTCTAGTATCTTGTTAATGTTAACATTAAGAGAATTATTTTTTTCTTTACTTCAAAATATACCTATGATAGAATTCAACAACGTGATCTAGTTGATAGAGCGTACTTGTACAGGGTCTTCTTGGTGGGTAATGAAGTTTTACTAATTATATTTACTTCTCCGAATATTTTAGCATGGCCAGCAGACAGATTTTGCAGTATGTCCTAAATGCTTGCTCAGAAGGAATTTATGAATGGTCTCCTGGGCACCCTCTGAAATCTGTTTGTTTTTTTTTTCCTACAGAGCTCTCGGGCTATCAGTGTCTTTGTTACTGTTTTTAATAGCCTTAACTATCAAAGTTTTTCCTTTCAGACCCTCTTGACAGGAATTAACTACTGAAAGTCTATAGTATTGGAAATTAAGCTAGTATTTGTAATCAGACATAATCTTCATATTGCCTATCTCTCTCACTATTACCGTTTTTAACTATGTTAGAAGCTTAACATTTGAATTTTTGTCCTTGCCATACTCTTTAGCTGATTAAACATGCTTTGACATTTTAGGAATCATATGGCTGTTTTAGAAGTGTATGGAACATCTCTAGAAATACTAGTAGGGACATTAAGAATTGTATAAATGGGAAACTTGAAAGAACTTCGATTTTTCTCAATGTGAACGATAAGACTAAAACACAGGTTCCTTAGCTATCCTCCATACTGAACTTCTTAGCAGTATTAGCCCCCCCACCCCCGCTCCCCTTCCAGGTAACAAGCTCATACTTGGTACACCTTTTAAACAACTTGTTCTCCAAAAGAAGTGGATTTTAGTAGGTTAGTATTTGTTTGGTGATTTGTTTAATTACTTGTGTGGAATTTGACTATACAAGTAGCAGTGGCAAACCCACTAGGACTGTTTTAGAAACATTTTCTTTAACGGTCTTATTATTATTGTACCCATTTTAAAGATTAAGAACTTGTGCTTAAGAGTTGTTAGGTGATTTGTGATGAGAAAGAAGCCAGGCTAGAATTCGGAAGGAGATATCTGAATCCTGAGGTTCTTATTCTCAATCATTATGCTACATGACACTGTTTTAGGGATTATGGGATATTTCTAGCAATAGTACACCATTTCTAAGAATCTGTAGATTAACAAATGGATACTTACATTTCCGCTTTGCTCACATCAATAAATAATATTGAGCAAATACCACATACTAACACTTAGATTTAGGCACAATATATTATGTGCTGGAGCACAATGGTGAATTACACACATTCCCTGGATTCACTTTGGATCTTGACTATTGAGCTATTGTACAGCAAAAGAGACTCTGCACACACACATGCACAAACATATTTATAAAAGATGCCTGTATACTTATATAGACATATAAGTATACTATATGCTTAATCTATTTAACCTTTAAGCATTCCTGCAACCTGTTTCTTTAGATGGCTAAGAACTGTACTTAAAGTACGGAAAATGGAGCAACATGAGATAAAAGTTCCTTTTATCTACATGTTTCCAGCCTAGAGAAGCTGTAAAAATCTTACGACAGGCAAGCTTATAGGAGTTCTTCCGTTAGTCTAGTTTCTTTTAACATCTGAATTCTCTGGTTAAACTAACTTAGTAAATGTGATATGTCTCTTTGTCAGACTGGCAGCTATTTTGTTAGGTTTTATACTCTTGTGCCTTTCACTTACATAGGTCTGCTTTTTAATGTTACAACACATGCCCTTGATGAGTAGTTGTTACTATGTGGACGATGGCCAGAATTGTCCAGATTGCTATTTGAGTTTTCCTGGGCATGTCTAGAATAGTTCTTACGGAATCAAGATTTAAAGACGGGATTTGTAATGCCTCTGAATTCATAATGTCTACTGGGTATAGATAAAATTATTTCTTTATTCCTGGACTGATGATTTCGGAGATGATTATTGCATGATGAGCCAGATATAGATCTTCAGCTAAAAGAAGCAGCTCACTAATAATAGGCAAGGTAAGACTTATTGAGTTATGTATTCTCTACCTCTAAAAGAAAGTTTGTGGAAAAAATAGAATACATAATATAAAAATAACCATGAACTTTTTGAAGCTCTCTTGTATGTCTTTGGCAAAAAGAGTTAACGGAAAGGGGGAGGGAGAAAGGACACTTTCTCCCAGGACAGGTGATTTTCATTCAGTGAGAAAGAGCTGACATCCTTGAATAGTAAGAGAAGAAGAGATAAATCTGCACTTTCCTACATTGATCTCCATTTTTGTTTGTGCTTCAGTATGAATGGTTTGGCCCCTTAAGAAAAATTAAAAATTGCCCTAGAATTGATTTCAGCTTATGGTGACTCCATGCTTGTCAGTGTAGAACTCTGCTTTGTAAGGTTTTCAGTAAATGTGACTGGTCTCTTCGTCTCGTCAGACTGAAGAAACTTGCAGCTATTGTGTTAGGTTTTATAGTCTGCCGATTTTTACTTGCTTAGGTCTGCTTTTTAATGTTACAACACATGCCCTTGATGAGTAGTTGTTACTGTGTGCACTGTGGCCAGAACTACCCAGATTCTGTGTGAGTTTCCCTGGGCATATGATTCTGTGGAAGCCTGGCACCTAAAGACAGGCCATTTGTTCAGTTGTGCTCACCTAGAATACTCGCTGTCTCTTCTAATGCGGAGCAGAATTTTCATGGTTTGGATCAAATGTGATTTCCTTTATACATGAAGGATTGCCATTTGACACACTTTATTTAGAGACAAATCCTAGTGTGTTTTTTTGTTTTTTTTTGTTTGTTTTAAGGCCCAGGAACACTTTGGTATAGTAATGTTTGCTCAGAATTTATATTTCCTGACCATTTTGACTTAGTCAGATGTTGTCTTTTTTCATTAACACAAAATATATGGACAAATGGAATTATTTTTATTTCATATTAAAATTAGTTTTCCCTTTAGTAGAAAAATTGCTTATTAAGAATTTAGAATTTTCTGCCTTTGTGAACAACTGCTTTCTTTTCCATGAAACCTGATGAACTAGTTGATCCCCGGATATTATCACTAAACATTTTGATCACAGTGATCTATAGAATAATGTGATTCTGGGGGTAGGCGGGGTAGGGATGGGGTAGGTAAATATGGAGTAGAATTTCAGATTTTTGTGGACTCTAGTTTTCTGGAGCCATAGTGGCTGGATAAACCCATGAAATTATTGCCCTCAAATAATCTCTCCTCCCCTCAAGTAATCTTTAAACCACAGGAAAAAAAATGCCCTGAAACCTCATTAAAACCAAACAGATTAGCTTAACTAGTAAACTGTCTGCCTTGAGCATTATGCTCTTTTAAGATCTATCTGTATGGGATCAAATGACAACAGCAACTTGAAAGATGAGATGGAACAGTAGGGGACAGTGAGTTGATAGTAATGGCAGGGCAACAACTCAGAAAAGAAGATAGAATGGTTACACAACTTGAATATCATCAGTGTTCTAGAATTGTAGATGTGTACGAATGTTTTGGTGCGCATACTCTCAACAACATATAAAATGCATATTTTAAAGTGTTTCAAATTTTCCACAGAGTCCTGGAAATGATTTTGAATCAGTTTTTCTTTCCTTTTAACTCACAAAGCAGGAATTAGCATGATTGCAAATTAGTCTCAAAGTGACCACAAGTGTCAGTGTTGGCCTGCCTCATTTTTTCCCCCTTCAATTCTCATCAAATTGTGCAACAGATTTTCATGCTTAAAAATTTCTTCTGACATGAATGAAAGCAAAGCTGAAATTTTAAGTTTCTTGCTTAAATCTAATGGGCAATACCCTTTATCTTTAAAAAATTCATACAAACTGTTCAGAATCCAGAGGAAACAAGTCAGCATTTAAAGTCAGGCAATTTTGGCAAATACTTAACACTATTAAACCCACCAGCCATTCCTTGGGAGAAAGTTGAAGTCGGCTCTCATAAATATTTGCACCCTCAGAAACCCACTGGGGCATTTCTACTCTGCTCTGTAGGCTCACTATAAGTGTAAATGGACTGGACAGCAGTTTTTGAATGCTTATATAATCATTAGTTTTGTGGTCAAATTGCTGTTTTACATGAGTGTAAATCCACTTGAGTGATTTAATTGTTATTTGGGCCACACAGTGCGTACTATAGGTCTTTCAAAAGAAGTGTTCTAGAAATATATGAAGATATCTTTGGTTGCCAAAGTGATTGAAGATATAATTCAGTGGGGTTAGGGAAAATAGAATTCTTATAATTTGAAATTCTTAATTGTGACAATTGGAAAATTTCATGTTAGAGACTAATTTCATGTTCAGCAGGGCTCATAAGTGCCACTTTGGATATTTGTGTGTGGGAAGACTTGTGTAGTACTTAAATGAACCTAGAAAGTAACTAGAAAATAAAGAATTTTTTCATAGTTTTAATACACAC